TCATTCGTATTTGACATTTTTTATATGAAGTGATAAGTGAACAATGTGAACATATTTTATATGCTATTGACATTTTACATGAGGTTGCAAGTGAACATAGTGAACATTGAACATATTTGCAATACAATCGAATCAATCAAGGTGCTACATCTATTAATTTCGCATATTTTCGCGGGGGAGTTATTCTCACGTGTCTGATGTCGGAATTTGATTACGATATTATTTACGGTAAATCTTACTAGTGTTTATGCCACACACCCGTTCCAATGGTGATTCTTTAACCAGTCAAAGTGTGTCATGAAGAAACCTGTTCTTCCATCGACTTCCACATCCTCATTATCACAAATGATATATTCTATTTTTGTTAACTCTGTAATCCTACTAATCCAAGACTGTTATATTCTCTAAAATCACTAACTGCTAGGAACAATGATGGTTCTGATTGGACTTATGTGTTCCTCCATAAAGCCTATTACATCGGTCAACAATGCTTCGACTTGACAACGTTTTTGGTCGAAAATTATATACATGTATAATGGCAAAAGAGCTAAAGATAAAAAATTGTCCTGTTTTGTGTCATAATCTCCGTTACATCTCGATGTATTATATATCTAGTGCCGATGAGTAATATTGAAAAGTTGTTCTTTACACCATTCATCTTTACTTTATATCCTATTTACTTGCTGACATTATTTTCTGGTATTGGCATCGGACTAAGTGTCTCAGGAAAACTTTCGGCAAAATCTGTTGATATTAAGGTTAAAGTGTCCGCGAAACATCGTCTCTGAATCAAGCTATAATATTTAATTGGACCAACCGATGTACAAATAGTGTCTTTATAATCATTGTAATAAATACACCAATTATATTAGAAATAGTAAAACCGAACCAGTGGCGGCACCAGGCCCCTTCCCCCTGCAGAAAAAGGGTTTGCACCCCATTTGTAACAAATTTAAAAATCTGGCCCCGTATTCTCGAACCGATCTTAGCGCTAGGATGTCCTAAAATCAATATTAGAAGATAAGAAGCTGATTTTTTATACGTTGTGCCCTAAAATATGTGCCAAAATGCACCAATTCAATTCAATGTATCGAAAATTATCTCTGGAAAACCATGTCAAACTCAATAACATGTTTGCGACTATATAACGCCTTCTGAGTGATGCCGCATTTTGAATTCAGCTTCGACAGTTGTCTCCCGTTGAGTTAGTCTCGGGGAGTCTGGCGTCGTCACTGAACAGAGCTCAAACATGTTTGTAACATTAGCATTTACTAATTCTGTATATTGTATATATTTTGTAAATAAAATGCAGACAATTATAATGTAATATTTTTTTTTATCAAAATTTAGAAATATTCACCATAATATATCCACTGTCTACAAACCTGATAAATCGCTGAGCAGTGGATAACACGGTGAAGCATATTCAAATCTTTTAACTGTTCGATGGATGGCAAGTTTTTGTAGTCACTTAAAATGACTATAAATACTAATTGACTTAAAATCTGTAGTCAGACAGAATATGTCAAATCTAACTTTGTCATACTCCGTTACGGTAGTGGGCTCATTTCGTTCTGATTTATATTTAGACCCGCCTTATTCATCCTTTAGACTTCGTATCTTGGGCGGTGTGGTATATTCCGGCATCT